TCTGTTTTGAAACACCAGACTGGCATTTGAACTCTTTTCTCTCTGTGTGTGTGTGTGTGTGTGTGTGTGTGTGTGTGTGTGTGTGTGTGTTTAAGACATTGAATATTTTGTGTAAAGTATTCTCAGCCTCACTGTTCTTTGCCTCCTACTTCTAGTTACTGGGCATATTGGATTGTCCCCGTCGTAGGCGCTGTTCTCATAGGTTTCCTGTATCGTCACTTCATGTCGGAAAGCAGATCCTCCTGAGGAGACCTTATTGAAGTTTGGGAACACGTGCTCTTGGGAGTGAAATTAGAGACTTGCCTTGGAGGCTGCAACGGCGCTCCTCCTTAAATCCTGCTACTTTTCTTCCTTCCCCTTGGAGCCAAGATGGGTGACCAGATACCCACCTCCAGTCTGGACCAATGTCCTTCCTTCGTCAGCCAGAGCCTTACTCCCCTTCTGCTCACCATTCTGCGTCTTTGCCATGTTTCTTCTCTACACACTGGTTTCCGCTGTGTCCCTTAATTTCACAAGTTTGTTGATGACTGCAGTTCTTACATTGTGGTGACATTGCCTTTGGTTAAAAAATGCCTGATTTCTAATATTTCGAAGCACATTAGACATTCTCAGGAGGGCAGCACTCTAGTTTTGAATCGTTTCCATTTTTAAGTGAATATATTTTTTAAAATTTTGATTTAATTTTGTTATGTATCATAAGGGATTTAAATCATAAAGTTAAGGTATCTCTTTTAAAACACAGATGCCAAGTGATCTTATTCTTCATGTTTGTTAAAAGTAAGGGGTCACTCAGCAGGTAAAGGCACTTGCCACCCAGCCTGATGACCCCAGTTGATTCCTTGACCCACGTGGTGGAAGGAGAGAACCGACTCCCAAAAGTTGTACTCTGATCTGCGCAAGTGTGCTATGGTACATGTGCATAAACACTTACACACTAAATATAATTTAAAATTACAAAAAAATTGTAAGAGCTATGTGCTTATCTCTGTCCTGGGTTCCTGTAGCTGACGGCTCTTTCTGCCCCCAAGCCCAGCCAGCCCCTTTTCTTCCCAATTGTGCATGACAAAACTGTGTTCCCCTCTGATTTCTTAGGGACCGGAAGAGCCAAAGAAGAGAGTAGTGAATTAGGGTGAATTCAGAATAATCTCTTAAAAAAAAAAAAAAACAAAAAAAAAAAAACACCAAACACTACTTCTTACAGGAACGTGGTTAGCTTTTTCTCTTTGGCTTAGTGCTGGTTTCTAACTATCTCTCTCTTTTTCCCCTAGCTGTCTTTTATTGGTAAAATATAATTGTGTGATTATGTCTCTAGAGCGTCACTGAAGATTTTTGCTGCCTTTTTATTCACTGATTAGTAAATTTTTGATTCCTTGTTTTAGAGAAGTGAGAGACACCAGTTTGATCTGTTTATCCCAGTAAAATAACTTCCGTATAAAATATCATTTGGATAGCTGGATGTGGGAGGCAGAAGCAGGTGGATCTCTGTGAAATCAAGGTCAACCTGGTTTACATAGTGAGTTCCAAGACAGCTGGGGCTACAGGGAGAGCCTGTCTCAAAAGACAGAAAAAAAAAGACAAATAGAAACCCAGAAATTAAAAAAAAAAAACCAAAAATCCCAAACCCCTTGTCATTTGAAATCAGGAGATCATGATGAGAGACTTCCATTTCATATGAATTTTACCTCCATGGCTCCAACTTATGATTTTGTTCTACTTTTCCAGTGGGAATAACAAATTTTTTAAAGTTTAGTAACTTTTTTCTTGCATATATATTTTATCAGAAAGGTTATCATTTGGAGTTATATTACTGTTTCTCATTGGTCCAAGCATTTTTCTGACATCTTTGACTTTATTATTTTTCCCCATGTGGTACATGATAGTTCACTGTCTTCTACCAGTGTCTGGTGACTTTCTCCACATCTCTTGTTCATTGCCAGTCTGCTTCTGGGCCATTGTCATATCCAGCAGGGAGTAGCTGGGTTCAAGAAGGACCGGAGATGCTGGACAGTATTTCCCTCCTCCCTTCCAGCTCGCCAGGGACTTGACAGGACAGGAAACTGCCCAGTAAACCAGAGTCTGCCCATGCAAACTATTTATGAAAAAGTTCAGCCCAGGACTTGTATCCTGTGATTTAGCAGTTGGATGCATTCAGAATTCATCAAAATAACATTAACATTTTCCTTGTATATTTGGATATAATATTTTAAAGTAATTTCTGGCTGACTTTTATATATCAGAGATACAGGTTTAATCAAACTTTTATCTTTAGAGATGTTTGCAATATTCTAAGGTGGATTGAAAAACTAGTTAAACTTTAATGAAAGTGGTATAACTTAATATACCTCCATTTAAAGGAAGATTTACATTGAATGAGATTGGTGTGTAATTGCTGTAATAACCAAGTTGAATGGAGTACCTTGGGGTGGAGATAAAGAACAAAGGCACACGGAGGAACTGGAAAGGAACATTCACTCTAATGCAAAGCCAGAAGATAACTTGGATCAATTGGAGAATGTGTTGGCACTCTCTTGAGTGAAAAATATCTGGCTTATAAGAAATGTTAAAGAACTGTATTTTTAAGTAAAACTTGTGTTTTGATATTTTTACAGTAGATACCACTGCAAAAAGTACGTTTTTCTATTTCATACTAGTTTTCTTTTCCTGTTTATATCTGCGCTTGTTTTTTTACTGAGAGCCAGAAGGAAAAGATTTTTCATACTTTTGTCTTTGCTATCCATGAAATCCATCTAATACCCAGGACTTCTTTTGGATAACTGCTAGTGTTGATGTCATTTTATATTTTAAAAAGCACTTTTTGTGTCTATTTACTGTAATTCTGTTGTCTACATAAACAGCCAGGCAAGAAGTAGATAGATCTTAAGTTAGTTTGCCAAGGCTTTTCCTAAACAATAAAATAATAAAGCCTATGAGCCAAATCCATCAAAACGGACTTGTTTGAGTAGACTAGACTTATCCAAGCAGGTCTGGAAACCACCCTGGAGAACAAGGGGAGTCAGTGCCTGCTGCTGCCGGTGCCCCTGGTCAGTGGAGTGTCTGGTTTATTTCTGAGGTGACCAACTGCCACCACACACCATACTATACACACAACTGAATATAAAGGAGGAAAAAATGTGCCACTAAGATACAGGGTGTTAGTGCCCATTCTCTGAAGTTCCCAGCCTCCAACTCTTAGGAATTGGTTTTTCTTTCTGGTTGACTCGCACATTCATAAAGAAAGTGAAGGGACAAGTGGATGTTATGTTGAGAGCTCCTTGTGTGACCACTTAAGCAGAGAGGGCCATCCCTCGGAAGCTATCGTTTGAATGGTAGGCTCTTTCAGCAGTTGCCATGAGGGCTTATGTTGTTGAAAGAACACTTAGGTTTATGCTCATCTAGTTTTGGTGTGGAGCAATGAAAAATGCTTTCACAAGCTAGATGTGTCATCACGTATGACATTCATGCTTACAGTCTCCACTTGGTTAAGTTCCACATTAGGAGACTGGAACACAGAACATAAATGTTTCTTTACCTCCTACTCCAGGAGAAATGGATTCAGAGATGTCTCTACAAGAAATTGATTTTTTTAATTAAACAGTGCCATTCAGTTGCCAAATACCATTGCAAAAGTAATGACAGTTCAGTCACGTTTGGTTTCTGTGCTCTGAAATAGCCGGGTTTGGAATTTGTGGGGGTGCTAGAAGGGAGGTTCCAAAGAAGCAGAGATGTGTCGAGTCACCTGCCTCACACCCAGCATCATACTTAGGAGTCTTAGTAGCTGCTCCTTACCCATGCCTGTATCACCTACGTTTGCTGCTTGGGCAAAACACCATTTCAGTTATTTAACTTTTTTTGCTGCACCCTTGTCTGTGAATGAGTAATATTAACATTCCTTTTGTGTATTCAATAATGGAATCTGTTTACCTATTTCATTTCAGCTTAATTTGAACAAAGATCTTTGTCTTTCTGCTGGAATGTGCACACAGCGAATGTTTGTTAGAACGGCACAATAAAGATACTGTTTTCCTTTTCTTGTCTTGACTACAGTTTTTTTTAAAAAGAAGTTTTAGTGCTGTAATTGTGAGGTGTTCTGGATGAAAATAATTTAGGGTGCATGATAGCTCTTGCATCTCTGCTACTCTTTAGCATAATTTAGGGCCATTGGTGGCTCCTCAGGATTCTTGCCACTGATCCTTGCTAAAAGTGAGTTTCTCAGTTGGTAGGTCTGAGAAGCAAAAATTCAGGTTTGGCCATGTGAATGGAACCAGAAAACAGTTTGGAGTTCCCATTCTACAGAAACTACCCAGTAAAGAAAAGCCAACACAAGGTGATAATGTTTTATTAATCTGTAGCTATGGGCTTCAACTGATTGTTTTTCTTGGAAAAAGCTAAACTGTTGGGAAATTTAAACACAGATTGATGGAGGTTCTAGTGATTGTATTAAACAAGGGAAATGAACCATTCTAATCACCTCCACAGCACACTGATAGTCCTCTATAACATGACCAACAGTAGGTCAGAGTGCTGGTGGCAGCTCATTCATTAGGATTTAGTTATCTCACTACCACAGGAATTGAAGATTGGTGACAGGAAGGGACAGCCTCATTCTTACTACCAATGTTTGAATCTAAAGTTTTAAGCTTTAATACTAATAGGAATTTATTATCATAGCACTCTTCCTGTGCTGTTTGGTGGTTTTGTGACAAATCCTGGTTAATTCATGATAACCTGAGTTACAACACTGTGATTCCATTTAGGAAAGTTTTTAGATAAGAAGGACCTGCATAATTTATTAAAGCTTGGAGATGGTCAGTGTACATCTGACAGCAGTTAACTAAGGACATGTCCGTGCAGTATACTTCAAAGCTTAGCTCAGTCACTCTAAAGTCACTATGTGCACTTTAAAAACAATTCTTTCATGAAGCATTAAGGAGAGACTACAGCTTTTCAGATGAAATAAGACACAATTGTAATGCTGTTATCCTCTGCCATCTCACAAACATTTTTGATCTTTTTTTGGTGGTTGTCTTTGAGACAGGGTCTCCCTGTAGCCCCAGCTGGCCTGGAACTCACTACATAGACCAGGCTGGCCTCAAACTTGCAGAGATCTGCCTGCCTCTGCCTCCTGAGTGCTGGCACATTTCTGATCTTTTTTTTTTTCTTCTGTCTATTTTGAGACAGGGTCTCCCTGTAGCCCCAGCTGTCCTGGAATTCACTATGTAGACCAGGCTGGCCTTGAACTCACAGAGATCCACCTGCCTCTGCCTCCTGAGTGCTGGGATTAAAGGCATGCGCCACCATGTCTGGCTACATTTCTGATCTTTACTCTTACACTATCCTCATGAAGGAAATGGGATATCTATTTTTCAGATTTTACTAGTGTCTCAGAGAGCAATTGGGGTGGGGGGCAGAAAGTCAGGTGTGGTGGCACACGCCTTTAATCCCAGCACTCAGGAAGCAGAGGCAGCTGGATCTCCGAGTTCAAGGCCACCCTGGTCTACATACCGAGTTCCAGGCCAGCTGGGGCTACAGAGAGACCCTGTCTCAAAAAGACCAAAAAAGCCAGGCATGGTGGTGCACACCTTTAATCCCAGCACTCGAGAGGCAGAGGCAA